TCAGCCTCCTGAGTAGCTAGGATTACAGGTGTGAGCCACTGGTGCCTGGCTAAGGTGAACTTTTAATGGAAGCACCACACACATAAGACAGTGCAAATCTCACGAACAGATAACACAATCAGGGCTGACAAAGTGAACGCCTCCCATGCCAAGTCCACTGTCAGGAAGCCATTTATTTAAAAAATCAGCCAGGGGTTGGTGGCTCACGTGTACAATCCTAGCTACTCAGCAGGCTGAGATCTGAGGATGGATCACAGTTTGAAGCCAGCCTAGTCAATTAAGTCCATGAAACCCTTACCTCCAATGAACCACCAGAAAGCTAGAAGTGGAGCTGCAGTTCAAATGGTAGCGTGCTAGCCTTGAAGGCAAAAGCTCAGGGGCAGTGCCCAGGCCCTGAGTTTAAGCCCAGGACCATCTCTCTCTCTCTCTCTCTCTCTCTCTCTCTCTCTCTCTCTCTCTTTCTCTCTCTCTCTCTCTCTCTCTCACACACACACACACACACACACACACAGAAACATTGCTAATACCCAAGAAAGAGGTGTGGTGAGATCTGCCATCACTGTTCACTCCGGTCATAACCACGCTCCACAGGTCACAACGTGGACAGTCAGCTAGCGTCTGTCTGTACGCAGCCGCCCATCCAGGGCTGACTGGAAGCCACCTGCCGGTCCAGTGAGCGCTGGCTTTGGGCCTCTCCAGTCCGAGAGTAACAGCTGGGCGCAGGACAAAGCGGGCTTGCGGACACAGGGACTGTTCACCTTCCCACAGACAGCGCCGCACAGCATGCTGGCCGGGCAGCGCGTAAGGGGTCGCTGTGTCACGGTCCTGTGTGCGGTGGCCACAGTGTGGAAGAGGCCATCGAGTCTAGCGCACAGAGCTCTGCCTTCTTCCATTCCCTAGTGAGAGCCCAGGCTGCTCTTTAGGGTAGAACCTTCCAGAGTAAACCGCCTGGAGCCTGGCCAGCAGGGGGACCTCCAGATCCTCAGCATCTATGAGGGTGGGGAAGAAGCCCAGACTGGAGCGAGGTCAGGGGCCCTGGAGGTGCGGACTGGCAGGAGTCACCCCTAGACTCCCCTCTGTGGCTCCTGGTGTCACCCCTGGGCTCCGTATCTCTGGCGAGGCTGTGCCTAAGAGACGGTCCTTTGTGTGAGCTCCCTGGAGAACTGAGTAGAGGAGGTAACGGTGCTCTTCCCCTCCCCTCCCCCCGGCTGGAGCTTGAACTCAGGGCCTGGGCATTGTCCCTTAGCTTTTTCCATTCAAATCTGGTGTTCTACTATTTGAATCACAGCTCGACTTCCAGCCACCAAGGGACAGCTGCTGCTCACGGCCTTCTCTGGGAGGGGACCAAATTTCAGCCTTTTACCCCTATTGTGGACGCCCCTTGTCAGCAGGAAGTAGCCAGGAGTAGCCCTATTGTCAGCAGGAGTAGCCCTATTTCATGATTATTTAAAAGCTGGAATGTAAGGTCTGCTCCTGGATGGGGAGCAGACTCCACCCTCCTCGCAGCGAAGTCTCCACCCAGCACCTGCGTTACCTAGACAACTGGCACACCTGGAAGAGGTCACATCTGCATCTGCTGAGGTCACATCTGAATTCGATGTGGCCACACTTTTCTCCACCCATACCCTAGATAAGGCCTAGCCCAGGCCCAGAAGCTCTTTCCCAGCCGCATGGAGGGCCAACATGGCCTGGTGCCAGCCAGAATGATGAATAAACCTACCCCTTACCTGAATACCACGTGCGTGGTGCTGTTCTTACTCAGCAACCCCTCTTTTAAAAAAACCTAACAGGTGGTTTATGGAAAAGGCATGGACTTCCTGCCTAGGCTGGCTTCAACCATGATCCTCAGATCTCAGCCTCCTCATTGGCTTGGATTATGGGTGTGAGCAACTTGTGTCCATTCTTCCTTTTTTATTTTTGCCAGTCCTGGGGCTTGAACTCAGGGCCTGGGCACTATCCATAAGCTTCTTTTTGCTCAAGGCTAGTACTCTATCACTTGAGCCACAGCGCCACTTCCAGCTTTTTCTGTGTATGTGGTACTGAGGAGTAGAACCCAGGACTTCATGAATACTAGGCAAGCCCTCTACTGCTAAGCCTCCTTCCCAGCCCGCAGTCTTCCTTTTTAAATACCATCTCCTGGCAAACACTGGCTTCAGGCTGGCAAGCTGTGTGTCCTGTGGGTACCAGTAGCTCCTACTAGACCTTCACCTTTGAAGAAGGCAGGTCCTGATTTCGCCAAGGAAACAGCTTCATTCTAGCCTCTGTGAAACCCCTTTCACGTAGCCATCTCCAGTGCTGTTAAAGACCAAACACCGTGTTTCACTTCCCTGTGGTGAAGGTGAGAAGTTAGTAAAATTGCCAGGCCTTAGCTGTAGCTGAGTAGCGAGTTTCAGTCTGGAAGCCAGGTGTCGCCTGCCCTCTAGTGGGCAGTGTGGGCACGGCAGCCACCCAAGTAGAATGCCCTAGAAATACCTACCACCTTTCTTGGGGCATTTGGTGAACTCGGGTCATGCTACAGCCGATTTGCTTGACACAGCCTTCCACTCAAGCATCACACAATCAGAACACACCATTTCTCCCTCCCAAACTCGTTTCCTCTGAAGGCTCTGACTGCAGTCCCGGGCGGGCAGAGCATGACTGGCACCCCTGGAATCCATGCGGCCCTGCGGCTGGCACTATCTCCCAGTCCCAGGCCATCACAGCTTGTGCCTGATCTTTTCCAGAACATTCCACAGACTGCCTTTTCCTGTGACATGCCAGCCCTGCCCTCCGTGAGTGGCCTGTGTGTGTCTTGGGCCGGGCTCCCAGCTCTCGGTGTCACGCCTCAGGGCTCACCTGGGCCGAGCAGGTTTCCTCTTTACGCCGCATCCTGTTCCTCCGCTCAGGACACACGTCCTCTCTCTCGAGGAGCCGCTCTTGGTTACTGTGACTGTGCTGCTGGGGACCCACCCGAGTGTGCCTGATCTTTGGGGGCGAGCCCAATAAGGAGGTGTTCGCAATCAACCAGAGGTGGCCCATTTTCAAGACCAGGCATTTGACGCCGAGTGGAAACTCGCCAGGAGCGACGAAGTTCACGCGTCGGGACACCTGTAGGTAAACAGGACCCACGAGAAGGGGGGCGTTAGCAAGGGAGAAACGGAGGGCGGAAAATGAGACAATGGTAGAAACCGCGCCGGGAAGCACCTACCTGAAGAACCACTCCGGAACTCACAGAACAGAGTGAGCGGACAGCCACACGCGCTTCTAACACTCACAGAACAAAGTGAGCGGACAGCCACACGCGCTTCTAACACTCACAGAACAGAGTGAGCGGACAGCCACACGCGCTTCTAACACTCACAGAACAGAGTGAGCGGACAGCCACACGCGCTTCTAACACTCACAGAACAGAGTGAGCGGACAGCCACACGCGCTTCTAACACTCACAGAACAGAGTGAGCGGACAGCCACACACGCTTCTAACACTCAGCGAAGCTCAAGAGGTGCATGTGTTCAAATCCCCCAATAGAAAGTAAGGAGACTTAGGCCACGTCACTCAGAACTCAGCCAATGAGGACCTGGGGGGCGTCCCCCCCCCCCCCGCTCCTCCCCCAACTCAGCCGATGACCCGGGGAGTCCCACGCACTAGGGATGACGCCGCTTGTTGTAATCGCCGAGCGTTGCCCGCCACGAGACCCGAGCCTGCAAGACCACCACGGCGGCGTGGCTTGTGCCGTGTGTGGGCGCTGCCCCCCCCAGCTTGGGCTGCATGCTGCGCAGGGCACGGGGTGCTGGGTAAGGAATGGCGTCTGCCTTTTCTAGGACGCTTTCTGCGTCCCGGCCGTGAGCCGCCTGCAGCTGGTGCGGGGAGGGGGGAGGGAGCCTTCCCTGTGTCTCCCAGTGCGGCGCACCCCCCCCCCCCCCCCCGCCCCAAGTTAGGGCGACCTGTAATCGCATGGAGACGAAGGCGGCCATCTTGAGTCAATTCATTTTATTGAGTTGTGCAACATGTTCCAACATTACAAAAAATAAAACATCGCCAAGAGAATTCCTAGGCCCCACGCAGCGTCCGCAGACCCCGGGCTGGGCGTGAATGGGGTGGAGTGGGGAGACCCACGGCTACTGGGATCACCCTGCCCCTCCTGACGCACCCACACGTTCACGCAGACACAGAATCTGGGCAGGGCTCCTTGGCAGTGTGGGGAAGGCCACGGGGGAAGGGCGGGCTCTGGGAAGACCTGGGGGTGCGCTGAGGCCCGCCAGGCATGCAGGTGGGGGGCACACGGCGGGGGGGGGGAAGGGGAGTACCCGGCACTCACTGGTGCCAGCCAGTACAAATTCTTTACACACTCCTTTTCCTGAGCCCTTGTGTTTCTTCTCACGGGGCCAGTGGCTTACAGCTGTACAGGAAGTCACTGGAGCAAGGGGAAAACATCATGACACAGGAGAACCCAATGCACACGGCCAGCCCGATGCTTCCACGCGTGAATGCAACAGAAGCGGAAGGAGACTCAGCTCTGCCCCCTCCTCCCCTCCCCCCCATGTGCTGCTCAGGGCCCCTCTTCATTTCCATTCTTTTAAAGAAGCGTTTTGGGTTGAGTTTTTAGAGCTAATTAAAAGCACCACAGTAAGTTTTAAACTTCATGGAAAATTCATTGGTATGAAAAGGATGTAAATTCATATTCGTAATGAGATGCTTAAAACGATTTAAGATTTGGAACTTCTCGGGTGTGTACAAGTCGATGTAAAGTTTTCAGCGTTGAGAAGCCCTGGCTGGTCGTAGAAAAATCGCTATCCTCGGAAAGGTTACTCAGCAAAGGAACAACAAATGCGTGGGTTCGAGTCCCCAGCCCGACACACGCGGTCTGCGGTAGCTTCTGAGACTCGCTCCCACCCCGCCCGAGCGCCGTGCTGCGGCTGCTCCCCACAAACTGACCAACAGAGACAACCTTATGAACTACGGGAAGAGTGCGGGTTTCGAACTTGCTCAGCAGGGCAGGAGGAGGCGGGGCGGCGTCACGTCACGTGGCCATGCTGCTGCTCTCAACTCGCTGCACCGCCTCCGGCTCCGCCCGCATGGGGCGGCTCTCCCCGGCAGCGCCATCTTGAGGGAAAGACACGAGAAGATTTAAGTGAAGACACCGGGGCTCAGCCAGGCGCCCTGGGGCCCAGGGGATGTTTGGGGGCATCCTGGGCCAGGGGCGAGACCTGCTTCCTTTCCAACCCAGCCCCTGGAGGCATCATGGGCGGTGGCATGCGTGGGGCATGGCTCCGCCAGCATTCACCATGTGAGTGGGGTGCGCAGCACCGGGCCGGCTCTCCCCAGCCCTTCCAGCCCCCCCTGCTTCCCCCCCCCCCCCCGCATGCGGGGCCCAACAGCCAGTGCAGCGCCTGGCATGCAGAGGCAGAGGCGGCGTCCCGGCTTCCAGGAAACGGGGGGGGGGGGACAGATGCCCGCCGGGCAGTACCAGGGCTGCCCGTCCTGGGCTGACCTGAGAACCACGCTAGCTGCCTGACTCCCGTGGGTGAGAGGGTGGAACGCAGGGCCACGCTGGCCTCCGCCCCACTGGGGAACAGACCCTGGAGTGGGTGTGTGAGGTCCACACGGGCTCACGACCCGACACAGGTGTGGGGAGGGGAGAGAACGGGCGGGGGGGAGGCATGGAGCCTCCTCAGAGACCCCCTGGGGCTCCACCGGTCCTGGAGTCGGGGCGCTGTGCAGTGTGCCCCGAGGTGGAGTGTGCGGTGTGTGTCCGTGTCCGTGGCTGGGCACCTGTGTGTGTACCTGTACTGTGTGCAGGTGTGCACAGGTGCGTGGCACTGTGCACAGACCTCAGACCCTCACTGACTTTTCTCTTTCCTCCTGAGCCTTCTGAGAGGGGTGATGAACCCTGGGCCTCACCGGCTGCCTGAGCCTGCCAGCATGGCTGCAATTAGTGGGGTGCTGCATGGAGCCGCGGGGTGCTGGGAGGCGCCGCTGGGAGCAGCGGAGTCAGGCACAGCCAGGTGCCTTCCAGGTCTGGGCCGGGCCTGCGCGTGCGCAGTGGGCAGGTGAGTGCTGCCCTCAGCGCCCAGACACTTGCACCACACACAAGTCCACACACGGGGAACACGACACGCACACAACGTACCATCCCTGCAGCCCGTGGGTCCGGGGTCCGCCGGCGCGTTCTTCCCCGCGCAACCCTCGCCCGAGAGGCCGGGGTGCTCCGGTGCCAGGCCACACTGCTCCGCGTGGCGGTGCATGTTATGCTGTGGGAGAAACGACACAGGTCACGCAGAGCACACCACGGCCCCGGTGCAGGCCCCAGGACCCGTGTGGACAGCAGGAGCGTGGAGGACGTCTGGAGCCAACCCCGGCGTTTGCGCAGCTGTGAAACACCAGCTTGCTTTCGTGGTCTTAGTGAAGGAAGTCAGAGAGCGGCCATGCTGCCTCTCCAGAGCTCGTAGTCTCTACGTGAGGACCGAGGGAAGCGGGATTTGAACTCATCACAGTGCTATCATGCTCCACTCCGGAGGGGACAGCGCCCTGCTGCTCCTGACCTCCAGAGCTCACAGGACACACCAGAGACAGAACCTCGGCCCAGGCAAGCCCACTCCGAGTCTGACGCAGGGAACACCCAACGGGGTCAAACCAGCTAGAAAAACTTGTTTGACCTTCATAGGACTAAATAAATTCTAGATGGGAAATTTCCTCACTGAGGTGTTTACAGTGTAATCATAATACAAAAAGAAAAAACTCCCAAAGTTCAGTTTGGAAAGTTCACGTGCCGAGTGAAGGATGAGTGTCCCGAGTTCACCAGCGGCAGCCCGGCTCCGTTCTCAGGTAGGTGGGGCTGGAGCTACTCCAGGGCGCAGGCGCTTTGCCTGGGCTCAGGCCCAGGCGGACACTCACTGAGCCCACCGTGGCCGCCGGGGACGGGATGTAAACAGAAAGGGGACTTAGAACACGTGCCACAAGCTGCTTTTCTCAGCTAGGGGTCAACGGAGTCCCCAGGAGGTGGAAGAGCGCCGTCAGCCTTTGCTCTAGTGGAGTGCATGCGCAAGCCCAGTCTGCCCTCCGTGCAACTGGGCTCAGGGCTGGAGAGCGGCTGCGTCTGTTCTGTAGTGAGAAACCACACACACACACACACACACACACACACGCCAAACATGCACACACGCCAAACATGCACACACGCCACACATACACACCACACACATGCACGCACATACCACACACACATGCATGTACACACCACACATGCACACACACCAAACACATGCACATATGCCACAGTACACACACCACACACACATGCGCACACACCACACGCACGCACACACCACATACATACCACACACACAAAACACATGCCAAACACATGCACACACGCCACAGTACACATGCACACATGCCACACGTACACACACCACACACACACACTACATACACATGCACACGCACACACACACACACAGGTTCAGCAGAGTAGCTTGCAGATATGGACGGAACCCAGTGGCAGACTGCAAAAAGGACTGCGGGGCCGGCTTCCATTCTCAGCGCTGCAAGAAGTCAATAAATGATCTGCTTAAAGATGGCAGGATTCATTCACTTGGGGTAAAGAAATGTGAAAAACCAGCGTGGAAGAGAAGCTGTGACCCCAGAGAGAAGCTACCACCAAGAAGCTGTGACCCCCAAAGAGAAGCTGTGACCCCGGAGAGGAGCCGTGACCCTAGAAAGGAGAAGCTGTGATCCCAGAGGAAGCCACCACCGAAGTGAAGCTGTGACCCCAGAGAGAAACCGTGACCCCGAAGAGGAGAAGCTGTGACCCTTGAGAGAAGCCACCACCGAAGTGAAGCTGTGACCCCAGAGAGAAACCGTGACCCCGAAGAGGAGAAGCTGTGACCCTTGAGAGAAGCCACCACTGAGGTGAAGCTGACCCCAGAGAAGCCGTGACCACGGGGAGGAGAAGCTGTGACCCCGGAGAGGAGCTGTGGCCAAGCGCAGGGCAGGGCCCTCGTGGAGGGACCCGGGCAGGCTGTGCACCAGCTGGTGTGCTCATCAACTGTGACCGCTGCCTGTTAACAAGCATTAAGTCTGTAAATTATTTCACTTTGTGAACATGAAGTTGGGAGGCAGAGCGTTGCCAAGCTCTCTCTGTGAATGACAAGAGTCCAGTGGACGAGAAGGGCGGGAAGGCACTGGGCTTTGGGCTGGAGTCCGCCCCCGGAGGAGCCCTGTCATCCGGGCCATCCTCGCCATCCAGTAGCTTCTCTCTACCCCCACAGCCCTGCCCTGGAGCCTCACGGCGGCCGGGGGCACAGGTAAGGGCCATGGATGGTCTCGTGCTGCGTGTAGACCTCTCTCTGGGTTTTGAACTGGAGACGTTATTAGCGCCGAGACACACCTCCACACCAAGGGTGAGAAAGATGTTAGAAACCCGCCTAACCCAGGCCACAAAGACCACAGAACCCCGCAGCATGCTTGGAGACCACAGAGAGCAATGGTGCAGCCCACCAAGGGTCCGCCAGTGAGCAGACCAGCACAGAAGTACAGAAACTCGAGAAAACAAACTACCTCCACACAACAACCAAGTGAAGGAAATCCCAGACACCGAGCTCAAAGGACTGTTGGTAAGAATGGGCAATAAATGCACAACTACTGAGAAAGCCGAGATCTCAGGATCTCGGTTTGAAGCTAGCTCCAGGAGAAAAGTCCCCATGAAACTCTTACCTCCAGTTAACCACTTACAAACCAGAAGTGGCGCTGTGGCTCAAGTGCAGGGCACGAGCCTTGAGCAGAGAGAGACTCAAGGGCAGTGCCCAGGGAGCTGACCAGAATAAAAGAAGGTACCCATTATACCAAGCACATGGTATGACATTTACTTTTAAAGATCTTACTGCTGCCCTCCACTCCCCAAAAAGAACAGTCAATGAAACGAAAGCATCTGTAAGCAATGACACCAAGGAAGCACACAAAGGAATCAATGGAAACACAGACAAAACGTTAAGTGAATTCCTAATAAAGAGGACGCAGGTAAATGGCTACAAGAGATCAAAGAAGACACTTAAATGAAGTAGGGAATTAATGCCTGATGAGAAAATAGAGATCCAAATGGAGGGAGAAATCCTGAAAAATAACCAGAAGGCTGAGAGAGGAAGGAAGTGGATACCCCTGCAGCAGAGTCCACATTGAAGGTAAGAGTCCTTGAGCTCGAGCAGAAAGGGAAGAATAGGGGGAAAAATCAAAGAACTGTAAAGAAATTTGCTGAGTGGGGGTATATGTGTGTGAGGGGGAGACAGTGGAAGAAAAAACTAAGGCGTGGGTAACACTGTTCTACAAGAAATGTACCCATCACCTTCCTCACGTAACTGTTACCCCTCTGAACAGCACCTTTACAACAACATTTAAAAAATAAAAAAGAAATCTGTGAGAACTAAAAGACCAAACCTACATTTGATGGGCATTGATGAAGGAGAAGAGAGATTGGCCAACAGTGTGGGGAGAGGCTGTCCATATTCAACAGCATAATAGCATAAAACCTCCCAAGCCTGGACAGGGCGAAGCTGGTCTGGGCACTGACCACAGGCTTTTAGAATACCCAATACACCAGAACAGAAAAGAACATCTCCACAACGCACTATGGTTAAAACAGTAAGCACAGAGAACAAGCCAAGCTGCAGGAAGCTGTGGAGAGAGGTAAGAAACGGGTCGCTTACAAGGGAAAGCCCATGGGCAGAGCAGAGAGGGCTGGCAGCGACATGATGCCAAACATTAAAAACCCAGAACATTCTACCCAGTGCAGTTTTCACTCACAACAGAATTGCAGATAAAAAAAACCACGCCACAATGAACAAAAACAAACAACTCACCACCACTAAGCGAGGTTACCTGAATGCTGCGTTTACTTTCTGAGGGCCTGCTGTTTCCAAGGTGGACTGCTGGATCCCCAACTGCGTCTCTGTGGATGGGGCCTCCTCACAGCTGTCAACTGCTCCCTGGGAAGTTGGGCTGATGTGTGTGTGTGCGTGTCCCACGATGACATAGCACTGTGTATTTTGAAGTGCTTGTTGGCAGTCCACTGACGTCTTTGGAGAAATGTCTACTTAGATATTTTCATTATGTTTTGGCTTTTTGCTTATTTGCTAGCAGTCTCTGAGACAAGTTCTCACAAAGCGAGACCTGGAATGTGAAATCTCCTGAGTGCTAAGACTGCAGGTCTATGCACCACCATGCTCAAGTGAGTCTGGCTCATCTCGCCACTGAGCTGTGAGAATTCTTCACAAGGTCCAGGCACATGTTCAGATATGCTTTCTTAGATAGAAGAGCAGTCTTGAGACTTCAGTGGGGCCCCTGGCTTCTTTCTTCTTTCTTGCATCAGGGAAATGTCTGTTTCTGACTGTTCTATTAAACCATCTCACCTCTCCATAGTTTTAATCTGGCCTGAGTGCTGTATTCTAAGCTGCACCAAGGGCTGGTTCCCTCAGAAGCTCACCCCAAGCTGACTGCCAATGAGCCATGTAGGTGTCTTTTGCTGTCACAAAGGCCCAACACTCCTGCTTTCAGTGAACTTCATTCTTTCTCCAGAGCGCATGCTGGGGTTGAGAGAACCCTGTGCCACGTTGTTTTCTGTTGTTTGGACGGTGCAGTGGTTTGACAACTCAAAGCCTTGGGCTTGTTAAGGCAGACACTCCATCATTTAACCCACTCCTCTGCCTCTACTGTATCTTTTTTGATCACGTCTTGTCTTCCTGTCCACCTCTACCTCTACTTTATTTTTTTGATCAGGTCTTTTTCTCTGTCCAGGCTGACCTATCTATGGCTCCAGAACTCTGAGATTATAGAAACATCCCTAGCTTGTCCACAGAAATGAAGTCTCTCTACCTTTTTGCTTGGACTGGCCTCAAACTTCAATCCTCATGGTCTCTGTCTCTCAAGTAGCTGCAATTACAGTCTTACATCACTGGCACGTCGCAAAGGCCCTGGACTGCCACTTGCTTGGGGTCCTGAGGAGGGCCCTGTGGGGCCCCACAGAGAGGGCCACATGGAAAGGAAGCCAGGCCTCTGCCCACAGCCAGTTGCTGACCCACCTCGGAGCGACGGTTGGGACAGCCCGCCGTGCCATGTTGCAAGTCCTGTGGACATCTGGTTCAGCCTGGCAGCTGAGCCCTCTCCCACGCCAACCCCAGAAATTGCAAGGTAGTCAATGTTTGCTCCAAAACTCAGGTTCTTCAGGAAGCCCCAAACCATCTGCAAGGACGTGCGTGGAGGACATCCCTTCCGGGAGGGGACCCCACGCTCCTTCTTCACACAGTGGGGGTCTCAGAGCCGAGCCCTCTCCTGCTGCGTGAGAGGCACTGCCCCCGATGCAGGCGGGTCTTCACACGGTGGTCCCTTCCCCTCCTGGGGCCCGTACTGCATGTGCGTGGCTCTGGGAGCTTACCCTGCGGGAGAGCCTTTGCCACACCCGGGGCACTGGTGGGCGGTGGGGACGAAGCTGGGATCGTGGTACTTCTTCACGTGCACACTGAGCAGCTGGGTCTGCCGGAAGCATCTGCCGCAGGCCGGGCAGGCGAAGGGCTTCTCTCCCGTATGGATGCGCATGTGGGCTGCCAGGTGCCGCTCCTGGGGGGGAGGGGCACAGCTGACCCCGGAAGTGACCTGAACTTGGCACGCAGCACCTAGAGGGACACAGCTGATGCCGGGAGTGACCTGCAGGTGGCACGCAGCGGCAGTGGAAGCGTCCCCGTGTCTGTGAGAGGCTGACACTCAGCCCTGCCAGCCTCTGACATGCTGGTCGCCCGTGTTGTCGGAAGGTCCCGTGGGGAAGGCCGAAGCGCCCACCTTGAGCAACTCTGACTGCCCCGAGTCACGAGGCCCCTGGAGTCCTACTTCCACAGAATCAGTTGAAGTCGCCGAGTTTACACGGGGCGGACAAACGCGAGAACGTCCGGGGCTCAGGCTAACATAGGGACATGTGGCTGAAGTGAGCGTGAACTCTCTTCCTCTCCCTCCCCACACGTGTGTGGCAGGATGAGGTCCACAGCCACTAAGCATCCACGGCCATCTGAAACGCGATTCAGCCGCGCTGTGCCCGACACCCTCTGACGCCGCAGACCCTGCTCCTGACGCCCGCAGGCTTCGCCGCTGGTGCAAGGAAAACCCATCGAAAAGCAAGATGTCAGATCCTTGTGCTCACTAATCCTTGATTTCACATTCAGACTCCACAGGTGGTTTCTTAGTTTGGTGGCACTGTGGAGGGTAAAGCCACACTGAGCGTGCCCCTCTGGCGGCCCGTGTCTGTGCGGCATGGTGAATGATCTCCAGTGTGAGATGCATTCCACAGGCCAGGTGTGGGCAAGAACCCGGGCTCTGAGCTATGAAGACTTTGCAGCTGCAGACACATTTCACAAACCAGCATGCAACGGGCCAAACGCTCTGCACATCAGTGGCTCATGCCGCTAATCCTATTCAGGAGCTAAGCTCTGAAAATGCAGGTGCGAAGCCAGCCCTGCCTGAACATAACTATTCAGGCCTCTACCTCTAAAAATAACCAACAAAATACTGGGCTAGTGTGGTAGAGTACCAACTGTGAGCAAGTCAGGCTTGAGGCTCTGAGTTCAAAACTCTCAACACTGACACACAGACGCAGGCGCAGACACACACACACACACACACACACACACACACACACACACACACACACGTCTTCTCAGAGCCACGCCAGAGGAATGCCATTAAGGACTAGAGAGCTATCAGCCCTCAGCAATGAAAATAAGACTTCCAAAACTCAAAGCGCTCTCTTTCCTTCAGAAGGATGGGTCTACCCGTGACCCATGTCCTTGCAGGGCAGGGCCACACTGTTCACCATTAAGAAGACACGCAAGCATCCAGTAGGCGGGGTGGTCTCCCCGCGGCTGCCCCTCCCTGGGAAAGCAGCCGGTGCATTCTGGCGCCTGCCCTCTCCCCTGGCATGCCGGACACAGGGCGCTCTCGTGTCACCTCCCATTCCTCACACAGGACGTGAAGACCAGCCACCAGCACTTCCCATTCCTGAGTGACAGGGCCCTTGGTTCCTGCAGCCAGCGGGGGCCCCACAGCCATGGCCACTTCTGCGGGCGTCTGCCAGGATGCTGCCAAGACTCCTGCTTGGCTTACACAGGGGGTGAGGGCTGGGGGCACGGTTGAGCGGTGCAGCGCCTGGCTTCCAGCCCCAGTTCTGAGGTGTGATGGGCTCAGACCTGGGGACCCGTCACTGCCCCGTGGACTCTGGCTGGTTCTGGTCCTCTGAACAACTGTGAAGCATGGCTTCCCCCAGGTTCTCAAGGTAAGAGAACCCTGCTCCACCTCCCTGCCCCCCACCCGGAGCCAGGGCCCTGTGCCCCGTTCTCCCCGGGGGCCAAGCACGCACCTGCTTGCAGGCGTAGCCGCAGTGCTGGCACACGAACGGCTTCTCGTTCTTGTGGCTCCGCTGGTGCTGCAGGAGGGCGTAGCGCTCGTGGAAGGTGGCGGGGCAGTGGCGGCACGTGAGCTCCGTGGTGCTGTAGCCGTGCAGGTTGCGCAGGTGCACACCTGGATGGGCACACAGAGCAGAGCGTGCTGGGGCCTGCGGACCCGCCTTCCCGCCCGGCGGCCAGGTAAACACTCACCGGAGCCCGCTGAGGTGAACTTTAGAGTAACAGAGGAGTTTTACCCAGTGGGGATCACACTTGTTTTGTTCTGCTAGGAGACGGCGGGATGATTCCCCATGTTACAACTGAGCCCCGGGAGACGAACTGAAATCTGAGGGCCCACCCTGGAGTAGCCCCCACTCCCTTGTCCCAGGCTGGGTGACTGCCGGAGCGCAGCGCTGGCCGCAGGCAGAGCCCCTCCTGCCCGTGGTGCCCCTGAGCCACACCACCGAGGGCATGACGGCGCCAGTCTGCGTCTGGCCAGGTGCCTGGAGAGAACACGGGCAGAGCAGAGCTACGGCCCACCCACCGCCTCGGACGAGTCAGGGGACCCCCTCCACGCCTGGCACGTTTCTGTATGTCCCCAAACACAGCAACACTAGACTGAGAAAGCTGTGGGGTGCAGGTGTCCACCAGGTCTCTGTGAAGTGGACAGGCCTAGGCCAGGATCGTGACAGCCTGTGGATGGCACTTAACCAGCCTGGCCACCAGATGGCACCATAAGACCTCTGGAAAAAAATGGTGCCTCCAAGTTTCCCGGCCCAGGGAGCCGGCGTCGGGCAGGCCGAGCACGCTGCACACTCACGCAGGTCGCTCTTCCTGGCGATGAGGGTGGCGCAGCGGGGGCACTGGTGTCTGGGCGCATTCTCACTGTGCTTCTGAGCCACGTGCATCTTCATGGTGCCGCTCTGGGTGAAGCGGGCGTGGCAGACATGGCACTCGTACGGCTTCTCTCCTGCGACACGGACAAAAGGGGGAAGGATGCTCTGGGGCGCACCCCCACCCTTTCCACTGGGCCGGGCTTCCATTCCCATCAGGTGCCCAAGTCAAGCTGCAAGCATGATCTCAAGCACCACGCTCTGCGTGGCTCAGGCACGGGGCCCAGCCACGTGCGACTGGCTGACCACGGGGCTCCCCCGCACCTGGGACTTCCCACCTGCCCATGGGGGGGGTTCTTATCCACAGGAGGAGCGCCCACATGCATGTGCACACACACACACACTCCTTACACAACACACCAGGTGTTTAGTATCTGCTAGAGCACTCTGCGCATGCACAGCCCCAGAGTGCGTGGAAGCATGGACTATCACTGAGTCGCAGCGGCAAGGGCCCCGGGGGCCTGCGTCCACTGCGGGCCACGACCCGCTGGGCCTGCGTCCCCCTTCCTGCTAACCGATTGGCAGGAATGCACCCATGGAGGCTGAGCTCTGCCACTGGAGAGAAGGTTCTAGAAAGGCAGCCGTGCTCCTGCGAGTCTCACCTGAGTGGGTGCGCAGGTGGCGCTTCAGCTTGTACGCGTCCTTGCTGGCGTAGCTGCACAGGTGGCACTGGAAGGGGCGCTCGCCCGTGTGCGAGCGGATGTGGCGGGTCAGCTTGCTGGCCTGGGACATGGGACACCACTGAGTCTGGACATGGCCTGGGACAGGGGACGCTGAGCTGGGCTGGCTGTGGCTCGTGTCCTGTGGGGACGTCCTCTGCCCCGTTGGGTCTGGGGGCCGGTGGGATGAATGACGCACACCCAGGCCGCTAGGTAGAAGCCCCCTGCCCGCGCTGGGCTGCTCATAGCTGGCCGCACACAGGACCTCGGGCAGGCCAGCCACGTCTGCTTCCACACAGCCACCTGAAGACTCTCAGGCGCCAGACAAGGCTGGGAACCCAAGGCACGCGTCTGGATGGCTGGTGGGCTGTGAGGCCAGCAGGGCCCGAAGACTTTGGGCCTGGCTGCGTGCACTGCAGCCGCTCTCCATGGGAGGTGGGGCGGTGGAGAGTGCAGGGCAGCCCCTTCTCCACACAGACCCAGGCCGAGCTGGAAATGGCTCACATCAGGGCAGAGCAGCAGGGGTCCGGCACCCCAGCCCCTCCATCCCCAGGCTGCAGGGGACCCTGGCACCAGCGCCCACAGCACTGGGGCAGGGACCCAGAGAGGCCTGAAAGTCAATGGAGAAGGCTGCTCACCCCAGCTCAGAACCCTCGGGGACCTCTGTGCCTGCACCAGCGAAGCCAACCTTTAGCTGACATGAGAAAGTGCCTTGACACACAGCGAGTGCAGAAACACATTCTTGGAACCCTCTGACCCCTCTGTGCAATGTCTTCACTTGTGAAACCCAACTGCCTCAGGGCTGAACCGAAACTCACGCCATCCCCCTCAAGGGTGCCCACATCCCTTCCCGACTGGGCTGGCCAGCAGGGCTTGGCGCCCTCTACACCCCAGCAGACATGTAGAAACAGATGGGAGCCAGGGCATTGGCAGCTCACACCTGTCATGCTAGAGACGCCGGAGGCAGAGATCCTGAGGATCACCGTCCAAGGCTAACCCAGGCAGGAAAAAGTAGCAGAGATTCCATCTCCACAACAATCAGCAAAGAGCCGAGTGTTGAGTGTCGGATGGATGAGCTGGCTTGAGGCGCTGAGTTCAAACCCGAGAACCTCTAGGAGAGCGAGCAGGGAGTAGAGCGACGTACCTCCACGCTGGCATACTGGCAGAGCGAGCAGCGGAAGGGCTTCTCGTGGGTGTGTCTGTAGCGCCGGTGACGCACCAGCTCCCCGCTGGTCACAAACGCCGCACTGCACTCCACACACTTGTAGGGCTTGGTTCCTGCCAAACCACAGGCTTTAAGACAGAATTCGGAAGGATTTTATACTTTTTTTGGTCGGTCTTGGGGCTTGAACTCAGGGCCTGGGCACTGTTCCTCAGCTCTTCAGCTCAAGACTGGTGCTCTACCACGTGAGCCACAGCGCCACTTCCAGTTTTCTGGTGATTCATTGGAGATTATCCTCTCATGGACTTTCCTGCCTGGGCTGACTTTAAACCAAGATCCTCAGACTTCAGCCTCCTGAGTAGCTAGGATGACAGGCATGAGCCTCTCAATAGGCTTTGGAACTTTAGTAGCTGTGAGAGAAATCTTTTGTCTTCTCAGGGCGCTTAAGTGAGATTCAAGATCAAAAGGGCAAAACCGCCATGCGTGCTGGGGACAGAGCGCGCCCCATGCCCAGTGCTCCACAGACTGGACAGTCCCAGACTGACCGCCCGTTTCCCGCTCACGCACACGCTCCCACGCCGACGTGGGCGTGAGAACGTAAGACACGTCACCAGCAACCGTCAGCAATGACTCCTGGGACAGGAGGGTAACAGGATACACAGGAGCCATGGGAGATTTGTGTTGTGTGCGCGCGTGTGCGCACCAGGGCCTCAAGCACACCAGGCAGGCTCTCCACCACGGGTGCAGCCCAGCCCGTGGGGCGTGTACCCCAGCGCCTGGGGGGGGTAGGGAAGCTCCGGTGAGGGGCGCTGGTGTGGGCGGTGAAGCAGCTGGCGGGCGGGAGCACGGAGGCTGCTGCCGCCCCTCACCTGTGTGCGTGTTGACGTGGTTGCGTAGGAGCGTGACGGTGCGGAACGCCTTCTGGCAGAGGTGGCACTCGTGTGCCTTCCCGCTGGTGTGCGTTTTCATGTGGCGGTTCAGACTCGAGATCCCCGAGGTGGCGAATGGGCAGACGCTGCAGCGGAAGGCGCATTTTGTGTCTACACAGAGGAGACAGGGACTTGTGTACTCGGGGCGCCGCTGGGAGATCGCCCGTCCCACAAGCTGCTCTGTGCACCCCACTGGGCAGGCCAGCCTCCGATTCCAGGGGACAGATGACACTAAGCACCTGCTCAGAGCAGGGAGAAGTCTCCAGAAAGGCCCTGGAGGGGTGCAGCCCACAGGGTGAACTGCGTCCTCCACCCAGACGGCGGCTGGGCGTGGCTAGAGGACTGGACACAGTGAGGGTCCAGCTGGCCACGTGTGGCTGAGGGGACAAGGCCCAGCGAATCCCAAGTTCTGAAGAACCAGGAAGACACTCAAAATAAAAATCACTAAAAATCAGCCGGGTGCCAGTGGCTCCCGCCTGTCATCCTAGCTACTCAGGAGGCTGAGCTCTGAGGATCGCAGTTCAAAGCTAGCCTAGGCAGGAAAGTCCATCATGCTCTTATCTCCAATGAGCCATTAGAAAACTGGAAGTGGCGCTGTGGTTCAGGTGGTAGAGCGCTTGCCTTGAGCTGACTGGGACAAAACATCTTGATGAGAACAAGTGCGGACTGGACTCACCCCCCCCCTTCTCCCCCCACACTGGTGTTTGAACTCAGAATCTCAAACACGCTGGGTAGATACCCACCCCTTGAGCCACTCTGTCATCGCTTCTCACATTCATTTTGAAGTAAGATTTTGCCTTTGATACCCAAGCTCATCTGGACTGCAACCCTCTCCTTTGTGTTTCCCTGAGTAGAGGCGCAGGCCACTGTGCTCAGACAGGCTAGGGCTAACGCCACAGCTCCACCTCTGCCTCCCAAGTATCAAGAAACTATTACTTCTTAAAAATGAGGCCAAGGGGTCTGGGAAGGTGGCTCAGTGGTAGAGTGCCTGCCTCGCATGCACAAGGCCCTGGGTTCGATTCCTCAGCACCACATAAGCAGAAAAAGCTAGATGTGGCGCTGTGGCTCAAGTGGTAGAGCGCTTGCCTTGAGCTGAAGAGCTGAGGGACAGCGCCCAGCCCAGAGTTCAGGACCCACAACCGACAAACAAAAAGCATAAAACGAAGCTAAGCAAGTCATTTTTGAAGATCAAATCTGCCCCTGGGCTTGTGGATGAGATGCTTCTGGAATGACTGAGATGCTGTTGTGGGTAATGTCACAGTCCTCCTGTCCACCTCTCCGCTCCACGCAGGCTCTCCCCACGCAGGCTCTCCCCACGGGCTGAGCCACGGACAGGACCTGCACACCCTGCTGCCCGGACCATGACTGCGCTGTCCCAGGCCTTCTTCCTTCTGAAGGAAGGCTCTCTGCCTCAAGGCCCAAAAGCCTGCTCTTCCCTCTCCAGAGCAAGGCCTGTCTCCCTGACCGTCACTGCCCCCTCCCAGTTCTGAACTCGGGGACCTGAGTTTCTAGTTTCTAGGCAGGCATCATACCACCCGATCCATTCCACCAGCCTGTTTTGCTTGTCTCCAGTTTCTGCCCTGGCTGGCCTGAATGGCCACCTTCTTGCCTAGTCTCCCGAATACCTACATGACAGGCATGTGGCATCATACCCCATTTTTTACTGGATGAGATGACATTTTGTGAACTTTTTACTTGGGTGGCCTGAAACGTCATTCCTCGCAATCGCTGATTCTGAATTATAAGGAGTGGCTCTGCCCAGCTCACCTGGCCCCAGTTTCTTGTACTGAGACCAGAGAGCAGAGACCATAGCCTAACCTTCTATTTATGTGCCTGATGCATTGTGGAACATTCCCACTGTGATTCTAAAATGTTTGTGAGAGCCGGGTGCCAGTGGCTCATGCCTGTAATCCTAGCTACCCGGAGGCTGAGATTTGAGGATAGCAGTTTGAAGCAAAAAATGTCCCCATGTGAGACTGATCTCCAATAAGCGACTCAAAAAAGCTGGGCATGGCATTGTGGGTCAAGCGGTAGAGTACTAATCTCAAGCACAAAGCAGCTCAGGGGACAGTGCCCAGGCACTGAATTAAAGCTCCAGGACCAGCGGTGGGGGGGGGGGGGGGGGAGTTTGTGTGGAAAAAATGCAAAACCCTTTGGGATTTAGTGCACAATACAACATCAACATCAGCTTAAAACGTCTCCCATTTCCTGACGTTTTGAAGACAAACTAAATCAACCACTTAAAACTTGAACTACCACCAACTTTCCCACAAAGAGAAGCCAAAGGGTGCCTACCCACTGTCTCCCTCTGGCTGTTCCTGGCTGTGGGCTTTTCCACATTGGCTAGACCGGTGGTCAGTCTCTCTGGCTGTGCTTCAACTTTTAAGTTGGAAATTGTCAGAATCATTTCATCTTTTCCTTCATCCCCGGGCCTCACTTGCAAGAGGAAGAACTGCTCCTGAGTGCTGGCGGCCAGTCCTCCTTCAGGTGGCTGCTGCTGACCTTCCTCAAGCTGGTCGTGAAAATGAGAGTTCAGGCAGATATCACACTGTTAGTTACAATCCCACTCAAGCCCCACGCAGGTCTGCCTGCTCACACTAGCGACTACTAAAGAAAAGCAAAAATTAGAAACTGCATTTCAACCCAGGGCAAACATAAGAATTATTTGATATCAAGGGTTTGTAGGGATACACTGAAACCTTTCTATTTAAAATTGTGATGCACCCTACAGGATTCCGGTGATTACGATTATAATTATGATTATGATTAGTTTGGTCTGTCATGGGTCTTGAACTCTGGGCCTGGGCGCTGTCCCTGTGCTCTTCAGCTCAAGGCCAGTGTTCTACCACTTGCACCACAGCACGACTTCTGGTTTCCTGGTGGTTCGTTGGAGATAAAAGTCTCATAGACTTTCCTGCCTGGGCTGGCTTTGAACTGCAATCCTCAGATCTCAGTCTCCTGAGTAGGTAGGATGACAGACATAAGCCACCTAAATATTTAAAAAAAATTTTTTTTTCTACTTAAATATTTTTTAAAAATAAAGACCTCATGACTTTCTTGGGAAACATTTTTTACTGTGCTTAATTTTATGATTAAAGATAACGTGCATTAACTGTACGGTATTTACACACATGCATATAATGCCCTTTGGCCAACTGCATCTAATACTGAACTTTCAGTTTTAATTCCTGAGTTCGAACTCAGGCCTGGGCCCTTGTTAGGCAGGCACTTGACCACTGTGCCACACCGCCAGCCCCGTCCTCTCTCTTGTTCCCTTCTTGAGTGTTTAATTTCAAACTGCAAAAATACCTTGTCTATAGGAAATGCTGCACTAATAAGACTATTTTTTTTGTGCCTGTAATGGGGCTTGAACTCGAGGCCTGGATGCTGAAGCTCAGCCTTGTGCACAAAGCTGGTGCTCGGAGCACTCGAACAGCTCCACTCTCGGCCTTTTCATACTCAGTTGGAGATAAGGTTCCCACGGCCTTTCCTGCCCAGGCTGGTTTCGAACTGGGATCCTCAGATCTCAGGATGTCAGGCGTGAGCCACCAGCGCCCGGCACCGCTTTTTCTTTATACGTTTACTTGCCACAAATGTGGTACCTGGGTCTTTGCGCACAGGGAGTCGTTCCCGGTCCATGGCCTACCTCGGTGAACGCCGCGCCTTCTGCCTGGCGGCCCGCTGCTGCCTCGGGGGCGTCGACGCCCAGGACCAGGGCCGGGGTCCCCTCCAGCAGGTACAGCTCGGCCACCTCCAGGCCGCCCGGCGGGCACGGCGGCTCGGGCGCGCCCAGGGCCAGGCACGGCGGCGCGCCGGGCACGGGCGGCCCGAGCCACAGCAGCGCGGCCTCGGCGCCCGGCAGCCCGACGGGCGCGGCCTGCCCCGGGAGGGCGAACCGCTCGCCCGCCGAGGGCGGCTCCAGCTCGGCGTGCGGGGCGCCGGCCGGGGCCGGCCCCGAGCCGCTCCGGCGCCCCCCGTCTCTGCGCCCGGCCTGCACCCCGGCCTTCCCCGGCGCCGCCTGGCGCGGGCGGAGGCGGCCGAGGGGCTCGGGCCGGCCCCAGGCCTCGGGGGCCGCCATGGCGGGGAGGTCTGCGCGGGAGGGAAGGGAGAGGCGTGAGGCCCGGGCCGGGCCGCTGCACCCGGAGCCGCAGCCCGCGGGGCTCGCGTGCAGCGGGCTCTGGCCCGGCCTTCTAGAACCGATGGCGCGGCTCCCGCCCGGCCAGGCGCCGGCCACGGGGCCCCACGCACGAGGCCAGGCCCAGGCCCGCACCGCGCGACCCCGCACCCCGGAGAGGCCTGGGCTCCGTGAGCACCGCCCCGGCCTCGCCCCCGCCCCGCACCGTGGGCACCGCCCCGGCCTCGCCCCCGTCCCGCACCGTGGGCACCGCCCCGGCCTCGCCCCCCACCCCGCACCGTGGGCACCGCCCCGGCCTCGCCCCCCCACCCCGCACCGTGGGCACCGCCCCGGCCTCGCCCCCGCCCCGCACCGTGAGCACCGCCCCGGCCTCGCCCCCGCCCCGCACCGTGGGCACCGCCCCGGCCTCGCCCCCATCCCGCACCGTGAGCACCGCCCCGGCCTCGCCCCCGTCCCGCACCGTGAGCACCGCCCCGGCCTCGCCCCCGCCCCGCACCGTGGGCACCGCCCCGGCCTCGCCCCCGCCCCGCACCGTGGGCACCGCCCCGGCCTCGCCCCTTCCCCCCACCCCGCACCGTGAGCACCGCCCCGGCCTCGCCCCCGCCTCGCACCGTGAGCACCGCCCCGGCCTCGCCCCCACCCCGCACCGTGGGCACCGCCCCGGCCTCGCCCCCGCCCCGCACCGTGAGCACCGCCCCGGCCTCGCCCCCACCCCGCACCGTGAGCACCGCCCCGGCCTCGCCCCCTCCCCCCACCCCGCACCGTGAGCACCGCCCCGGCCTCGCCCCCGCCCCGCACCGTGGGCACCGCCCCGGCCTCGCCCCCTCCCCCCACCCCGCACCGTGGGCACCGCCCCGGCCTCGCCCCCCACCCCGCACCGTGAGCACCGCCCCGGCCTCGCCCCCTCCCCCCACCCCGCACCGTGAGCACCGCCCCGGCCTCGCCCCCGCCCCGCACCGTGGGCACCGCCCCGGCCTCGCCCCCATCCCGCACCGTGAGCACCGCCCCGGCCTCGCCCCCTCCCCCCACCCCGCACCGTGGGTACCGCCCCGGCCTCGCCCTCCCTCGCACCGCACCGTGGGCACCGCCCGGGCCTCGCCCGCGCCCGGCCGGCCCAGCCCAGCGCCCACCCCAGCCTCACCGCCGGAGTCGGCCTGGACGTGAGCCCCGCCTGGACGTGAGCACCGCCTCGAGCTCCGCCTGCAGCCGCCACCCGGGAGTGCAGTGCGCAGGCGCGCGGGCGGGGAAGGGCCGAGGGTGCGGGGGCGAGGGTGCGGGGGCGGACGCGGGGGGGGGGAGGGGGGGCCGTTCCGTCCTGGGAAGGAGTGATGGGTGAGGAGAAGGGAGCGTCCTGAAGGGGGCGCCGAAGGGCTGGGGAGGGATGATGGACGGGAGGACAGGGGGTACTGGGGGTCGAATGATGGACGGGAGGTCAGGGGGTACTGGGGGTCGAATGATGGACGGGAGGGGAGGGGGTCCCTGGGGGTCGGATGATGGACGGGAGGGGAGGGGGTCCCTGGGGGTCGGATGATGGACGGGAGGGGCGGGGGTCCCTGGGGGTCGGATGATGGACGGGAGGGGCGGGGGTCCCTGAGGTGTGGATGATGGACGGGAGGGGAGGGAGTTCTGTGGGTTGGATGATGGATTGGAGGGGAGGGGGTCCTGGGGGTTGGATGATGAACGGGAGGGACGGGGGTTAGGGAGGGCGGATGATGGACAGGAGGGACGGGGTTGGGGGGGCAGATGATGGACAGGAGGGGCGGGGTTGGGGGGCAGATGATGATGGGAGGGGCGGGGTTGGGGGGCAGATGATGATGGGAGGGGCGGGGGTCCTGGGGGGCGGATGATGGACGGGAGAGGTGAGAGGCCTCAGCAGATGATGGACAGGAGACAAGGAGGAGGGCTTTCGAGAGCGTGCTGGGGTGGGGGGGCGGTGAGTGGGGCGCTGCAGATTTGTGTGTTTGGCTTCCGTGTTTGGGGAGGGTGCACTGGAACAAAGGGGTGGCCCGCCCTATGGGAGGGGAGAGCCCTGTCCCCTGCAGGGTGTGCTGCAGAGGGAGGGCTAGTGCTAGAGGCCCTAGCCTTGTTGGGGTTCATTTGGAGTCCTGGGTAGCCCTTTTTCTTTCCCATCTCTTTCTGCCCTGTTACATTCTTTCCAGAAACATCCCTGCAGGCAGGGGGAGGTAAGAGAAGGGGGCAGGGAAGAGAGGAGGTAGGGCGACAAGGAAGCCCCAGGAGCCCATGCAGTGACAGGAACAGAAGCTGGACGGCATACTGGAGGTGGCTCAGTGGCCAGCCCTGGCCTCTGTCCCCAGAATGGGGTACAAAAGATGCATCCCCCTAACAAGCTCTGTTTAATGGAAAGGAGTGGTTCTGGTAACTTCTTGATGGGGCTGGAATGTAGCTCAGCGGCAAAGCACTTGCCTGGCAAATGCAGTGTCTCTGGGTTCAATCTCCAGTACCATCCCCCCCAAAAGATTTCCAGAGAAAGAGGGATTCTTATCTCCAAATAGATTCAGAAAAACAATACGTGGGAATGAAATTATTTGTATTTTACTAGTTTTCTCTCTTTTTTACAATATGGTTTGCAAGTCCAAATTCACCGTATTTCATTCTTCATGGGGTGTGAACTTAGGACCTTGTGTTCTTGCTTAGCTTTTGCCTGTCGAGACTGAGGCTCTACCTCTTGAGCCACAGGTCCACTTCTGGCTTTTTGCTGGTTGATTGGAGATGAGTCTCACAGACTTTCTTGCCCCAGGTATCTTCGAACTGAGATCCTCATCTTCGCCCCTAAATAGCTAGAACTGAAGATTCGGGCTATTGGCACTGGCTTTATTGGGATTTTCTTGCTGACCAGTTGTGAATGTTTGGTCAGAAAAGAAGAAAGCAGATTTGAGGGGAAACAGCCTCAGAAACTTGCACAAGTAAGAAGCGAAGCCATGACAATATCCCGAGAACCTGGTGTGAATTCCCCTCCTCTCTGGAGCCACAGAGGCTTTTCTGCACCCTTGAACATGCTTTTTTGTTTTCACCCATCCTCCCCAACTTTTCTCCCAACTCCTCATATCTTATTTGAACACAGTACATCCTCTAGATTCTGTTCATTTTTAATAATACAAAGGATAGAACTAAATTCAGGCGTGAAAAAGAAGTTATTCTGTCCTGGATGGATTGGTGAGTTAGCTTCTTGGACTGGTAAATTTCACGCTGTGTCTGGGGGTTTCTATTACAGTGCATGTACTATACGGTGAAGATAAATATTTGAAGGTCGCTGGGAAAACAGTGTGTTATAATAACTTCTTTTAAATCATTGAAATGAGTTTTTCTGCTTGAACACTCACCAGCTGCTTAGTGTCTTGGAGAGAGTAATTTTGCATTATGCTCTCCACTCCTGCAGCTAGAAACTTGTCGTCAGGACTGATAGGTAGATTCATGCTTAGAAATTTAGAAAACTAATTTAAAAGCACATTTTAAAGAGGAGATAGTGGGTTTGGAGGCATGGCTCAGGTCACAGCGCAGGCCGGTGAGTGAAAGCAAGTATAAGATAACGAGTTCGAGTTGTGAAAAGAGAAAGGGATCTAAAAGGCCAGTAGGGCAGAGGAAGGGAACGTGGGAAGGGAAAACCAAGGTACACTTGAAGGGCAAAAGTAGGTTTTTCTTTTTTCTCAGAGGTGGTTTGGAGCTTGAACTCAGGCCCTTGCGCTGTCTCTTAGCTTTTTCTTCTCAAGGCTGGTGCTCTACAACTTGATCCACACTTCTACTTCGAGCTTTTGGCTGATTAATTGGAGATAAAAGTCTCTTAGAGGGGCTGGGAAGGTGGCTCAGTGGTAGAGTGCTTGTCTTGCATGCCTGAAGCCCTGGGTTCAATTCCTCAGCACCACATAAGCAGAAAAAGCCGGAAGTGGTGCTATAGCTCAAGTGGTTGAGCGCTAGCCTTAAGCTGAAGAGCTGAGGGATAGCGCCCAGGCTCAGAGTTCATGCCCATGACTGACAAAAAAAAAAAAAAAAAGTCTCTTAGAGTTTCCTGCCTGGTCTGGCTTTGAACTGTGGTCCTCAGATCTCAGCTGCCTGAATAGCTAACATTACAGATGTGAGCTGCTGGTTGATGCCTGGCTAAGAAGAAAGCTGGATGGAAAGGAAGGGTAGAGAGGAAGGAGGCTGTTTTGGAAACCCTGAGAGTGGAGAGCCTATTTGTACTCTGCTTTCTACCAGCTCAGCATCCACGTGTACTTTTTAGAAGGTCAAGGCCAAGGGTTGGTCCTCTAGTCTAGGATGAGGACAATGAACTCCTGGTCCATGCCCTCCCTCTCAACTCTATCCCCACCCCTATGTCTGGCTTCAGTCTCTCTTGGACTGATCTATGCTTCTTTCAATGATTACTGTCATAAGATCTGGTCCTTACTCCTTCCAGACCAGACCCCTCTGGTTGGTTGAGAGGGCTGTCATGGAGCCCCGAGCGCTGGTAGCGCATGCCTGGATTCCTAGCCACTCAGGAAGCTGAGATCTGAAGATTGTTCAAAGCCAGTTGGGGCAGGAAAGTGTGTGAGACTTTTAGGTGCAATTAGCCACCAAAAAGCCAGAAGTGAGGAAGAGGCCCAAGTGGTAGGTGCTCAGCCTTGAATGTAAAAGCTGAGAGACAGTGCCCAGTCTTTGACTTCAAGCCCCAGGACTGGCTTGAACAAAAATAAAAGACGTTCTCAGTCTGCTCCTGCTTCCAAAGTAAGAGCTGAGAGGTCTGCCGCATGGCCTCCTGCCACTGACTTCGGTGTAAAACCTTCATGGGGCTCTTGTTAAACTCTCGGGCATTCCAGCTTCTCATGCGAGAAAGGGTCAGATGTTCTGTTTCTTGTAGATTGCCCAGGAGAAATGTTACACCAAATACTTCCATTAAACATCCACATGTTATATCTACTTCACTCAAGCTGCACGCATTCTTTAATATT